GGGGCATCCCCACCCCGCCCCGCCGCACGACCCGCGACCGGGCGGCGAACCTCTCCCCGCCCCACCCCGCCAACCCGTTCGGGGCGGGTTTTTTTGCCCCATTCGGGGCGGGGCCCCGCGGGGACGGGGCGGGGAAAATTGCCATCTCTATCTGAACTTCTGGTAGTTGTACTGTTTATCTGTTGTGGCCTTCTTTTGTATATATTGCTATTTTTCTTATTGTTCACATTGAAGGATATGAGGAAATGGAAAACAAAACCCGGCTGATAGTTGATGTCCGAGATGTAGCTGAAGCACTAAAATTGGTATATGAGAAACCTGAAGCTGAAGGTAGATACATTTGTTCTGCTCACACGGTCAAAACTAAGGATATCGTGGAAAAATTGATGAAAATCTATCCCAACTATAAATATCCCAAGCGGTGAGTATTTATTTTCATCCTTCAAATACGCTTTTACTAGTGCCAGAACATTGTTAGGCATTTCTAGCCCGTAAATTGCTTTCTAAATCCATCGCACTAGAATTGCTTGCCCTGGGTTGTGAATTTTACGCATTTCCTTATTGTTGCAGTTTTACAGAGGGAGCAGAAATGGGAAATCTCAGTTCAGAAAAATTGCAAAGGCTGGGTTTGAAATATAAGCCACTCGAAGAAACTCTTGTTGATTCTGTTGAGAGCTACAAACAGGCTGGGGTACTGGATTGAAGCCATCAAATTTCAACAAATGTACTTTGTCTTGGATAAGTATTATCATACACGCTCGTGTATGCAACAATTCTTTGTTGTTGCTGGCAATGTTTCTCTTTTTTTCGTTAAACATGTTGCTGTAAAATACAACGAATGTCGTACTTTTAAATAAGTTTGTTTTCTCTTATATGATCTGTTACTCTGCTCATACGATCGATTGTCGTCTCGAAAATAACGCCATGTAGATTTTTCTATGGAATAGCATCTTTGATTATGTGACCCCAATACAATATAAGGAAAGTGTGTGTTAGTTGGGGGTGTTTTTATTAGCAGAGATATGAATAATGAAGTTAGTAATATATGGTTTGGTGGGAGTTGGTTTATATTTAAGTGCTTTTACATAAAAAAATGTGGCTGGACTTGTTACACATCAATTACGGCAGATATAATATGGCCCAATCACACGTGTATCTGGATTGAAAATGATCAGCTAACTAATACAAGCTGCTGAATCGACCATTTTGGCTTTTGGATGTGTAGTAAACATGTGTGGTTAGAGTCGAATAAAGTTACTTTTAAGTAATTTTTCTTCTTATTATTTGCATAGAGAAGTTTTTCTACATTGTTGATTGGATTCGATTAGATTTGTCCCCTGAAAAGTTGCAGAAGCTGAATTGGAGTCTACAAATGCCTTTAAAATGCAGACCAAAAAAAAGCTAAAATACCCTTTCACCGTTGATAACGCTTATTCCTGTGGGAACGTATTTCATCCACTGCCAAGGTCCCTTTCTCGTCCGATTATGTTGACAACCTAAACCACCTTCATCCATTCATATTAATGCATTTTGCGTACCTTAAAATTTACCCCCCCTACTCCCCCACCCTCCTCCTTTTTCTATTTTTTTTTATTTGTAGAAATTAATCAATTTCTTAGCTTAATTTTTTTTTTTTTAAAGGTTCCAGGACGTCACGCCCGCGCGTCTCCTGACTGTAAGGGTTGGGCTTGGCTTTGGTTTCAACTTGATCCACATTTGTCTCCGAACATTTTGGAATGTACAAATTGGTCACGAAGGCATTAGAATTATGCATAATGGTCCCTGGACTTTCTGATTTCTACAATTCAGTCCCTGATTTTTTGTTTTTTTTACTATGCCAAAAAAAAATTAGAAGGCATTAATCATGTGTGGTAATGTTTGATAGAAAAGAATAAATAGGATGATCGATAACTCTACATACTAGTCTCTACCAGAAGCAAAATAATACTAGAAATAATTAGGGTTGAACTCCTCAACATTTCTTCGAAGTGATGTTTTGGGTCCCCCAGCCTCTTTAAATATATGAATCTGATTCTTTACGGAGTAATAATATTTATACATCATGATTTACATATTGATGTATAGAATGATATCATGGAATAGAGAAAAAGAGAGAAAACGGGAAAGAAAAAAAAGTCAGTTACAAAACATTTAACATAATCCAAATCATCATTTTGTACATCTTTATGTAAATCATGATGTTTAAATAACATTATTCATTTTTACGACATTAAAATCATACACAATCCTCATGAGACATAAATCAAGAATAAAATTTTGCATATGATGTTCTCGCCTTTTAATTTTAAACCATGTGAAACTAATTTGCAATTTTACCTAATATGTGCATTTTTTTGCACTTATTCAGACTATTTTTTTGCCCCATGCCAAGTTTGAAAAAAAACATTATGCTTATTTCAGAATTCAATTTCAACAAGGAAACTTTCGTTTGAGCTATGATGTGCACAATATTTGGAGATCTTTTGGGACTCTTTATAGGAAATATAAATACGAACTCTCAGAACATAATTAGAGATGGAGAATTAACTGCAAAAGAAGGCAAAGAACAAATCAATATCAAATCCAAGAAGTTCAAGATAGAATTCAACAATTTTTGGGTGATGAACAACCTTTATATCTTTTACTTTCTTGTTCACAACATGTTAATTTAGATTTCTTTGTGCTTGAAGAATGATGAATCATGTAATATGAATTTTTAATCTTTAGTTTTTCATACTTGACATCGAAAACACGTTTTTGTATATTGAATCATTTATATGATTCTCTTTTCTCCAAACTATTGCGAACGGTAATTGTGTGAATGCGGCAGCCTATTTTATGCATTTGAAAGAAGGAAAATTGGTTCGACATATATAAACTATTATAGGGTCTGATAGGGGATATAAATATACCACTATACTCTATGTGAATCTTTAAGTGTTCATAAAAATTCATGTACTCTTGTATGTCCGCATCCGTCATAGGACTATAATCAGGGTCATATATGAGAGTAGACTTAACATTATTCGAGAGAGATTGTTAAATAAAATACGAACATTGATTCGTCAAAATTCAATCGTGTTGTCAAAGTGTAGAACTAAGGTTAAAAATGATTATTGCATGAAAATTTGGGATCTTAGTGCGTTTGTTATCTATTAAACACATCAATTTGCATTTAGTATAATTTGTATTTAGTTAAGTTAATTTACTCATAATTGCATAAGTATATTAATTTATTCATAATTTTGTCACAAACACATCATATTATTCTTGTTTAGATTAAGGTCACGGTAATAAAATTAAACTAATCAATCTCCGTAGGATGATACTTGGACTCAAAATTCACTTTATTACTTGTTAACGAACCTTACACTTAGTGTGGTTTTAATTCGAAATATATTTTTGTAAACAATTTTTTGGCGTCGTTGTCGGGGATTGTATTTGAATTTAATTTCATTTATCTTAACACTAATTCGAACTTCTACACGTATTTTTGTATTTTTAATTTTTTTCCATTTTAGTTTTTTTCCTTATTTTTCAGGATATAAAAATACCAAAAAATAGCATGATAACATATGATTATGGTTGATTTCAACAAAAAATGCTTTTACGTGACTTCATCATAAGACAACAACAATTGACATCTCAAGAAATTGATGAGGGAGATTTCATTATAGGACTGTGACTACAAGATATAAAAGCGGAATGTGAAGTTGATGAAATTTTCCTGGGTAACTTGCATGTTGCATTATTTCTCTCACCAAAATTTGACGTAGGTGATTTGTTTGTGGGGTTATTTCTTCCATGCTTATTAATGAACATCAAGAGAATCAGATCCACCGTACTTCCAACAAATACAACAAAAGGATGAGATTTTACATGAAGACGTCGTTATTTCTTTGCCTAAAGTTTTAGATACAAAGAGAAAGTTTCAATTAAATAAGAGGAGAATGAAAAGATTGAAAAATTAATCATAACAGACGAAAAAGAATCAGTAGCATTCAAAGAAGAGGAAATTAACATTCAATCCCTCGACTTTCTCGTTTACTCAAAATTTGAATTTGTGATTAAACCTTATGATAAAATTGAGGTGCATATTGTTGAGCTTGAAACGGGTGATGAGGAGAAATCATACTATTTGAAGCACGAAAAGGTTAAAATTTGGAGGAAAGTTGTAATATGGAACAAAGTCAAATTGAGCAAGTTAAGCAGGACCTCCAAAGTTATATTCAAAGTGCCATGATACACTTGTGCAAAAGTCGAGCTTGAAACTATAAATTGAGCGCTTAATGGGAGGCAACTAATTTTTCTATCCATTTTTCCTTATTTTGAATAACTATTGCGTTACAAGTAGTTTTAGGGATTGCATTAATTTAGAAATGCATGCATTTAAACGGTTTTTAACACATTTTAGCCAATACTTTAATACTTGCATTAGTAATTTATGCATGTTTACTTATTGATTTCATTTTATTTAGGCTCATTGTTAACATCCTAGCATTACGTTAAGCTTACATTTAAGTGATATGTATTTTTAAGGTTGCACCTGGATTTCAATCTTCTTAATGTTAGAAGATTAGAATTCTTCTTAGTGTGAATAATTACAAATATTTAAACATTATTTGCTATCATTAATATTTATTTTGAATTCTTGAAACAGAAAGTTGAAGCCTAGTAACAAAGAAAAGTGGTGATTGTCATGACATCTACCAACCGGACCAGCTTGATTCTTCTACCTATCCGCATCTACTCTCGGGGAGTTTCTGATCATTTATTCCTTTATTTTGTTTATGTTTGTTTTTACATTAGGGACAATGTAATCTTTTTGTTTTGGGGTAAAGTATTTGGAGAATTATGATCTTTGTTACTTGCTTTTCAACTGTTTATTGGGTTTGTATAGTATAGCGTTGAACGACTTGCCGCCTATGATGATATTTATTTGAATTGAGTATAGCTTTAGCTAGAATTGGACAATATTGTATCTTATGATTTCACTTGAGTAATTATCCATGTTAAACCTGTTTACTTTGAATTGGACAATATTGTATCTTATGATTTCACTTGAGGAATTATCCTTGTTAAACCTGTTTACTTGAGCACATAGTCATTATTAACTTATCACTTATATTGGAGCATGACTTGAATATGTGGATTTAATTGTTGATGTGTTGACCTAAGTTTGAATAAAATCCCCCAAATCCTTTATATAGAAACCAAATTGCTAAAAAATAGTTTGGGGTGGGAAGGTTAGTACTTGTGTTCAAAGAAGTTTAATGTTTTAGAGTTTTTGTATGAGATCTTTAGTTGAAGGAGTTTGGATTAAGGAATCTAGAGCAGGCACTGACAAATATCAAAATTCGAATCTTATATCAAAAGTAAGTGTGATATATCTTACACTTCTCTTCGTAGCATTTATGACTTGAGTTATTAAGTATGTTGGGGTATTTAAAACCTAGTGCCCAATAGTTATCTAATCTGGGAGTTATCAGTCTAAAACTAACTATAGTGGTCATTTAGAAAGTTTAATGAACACATAAAATGTAAAAGAAAGAGAGAAAGAAGGGGGGAGGGGGAGGGGAGTAAATACCAACATATATATACATAGGGAAAGAAAGAAAAAGGGATTTAGATTATCAATGAGAGGTGTCCGGTAAAGACTTTGAGATTTGAACTCTAAAGACTGGCGATGTGACTTTGATAAAT